TACATATATAACACTAACATTGTGACAATGAAAAACTTGTTAAGCGACTATAAGGCTATAGAAATAAACATGAATGGTCTTCTGAGAAAAACGACGATACAAGGGAAGCATTTATGGTTACCGAAAATAATAAAAGTCTTTTACTCACCAACAACAACAATAACAAAAAATATAAACTAACATCACACATCATGGCCGCGTAAAATGCAAAACAGAAAAAAGCAGATGAATATATAAATATTTTTAGTTTTAAAACTAATTCGCAGTCTGGCGGCAATGGAACTTTAAATATACCTGAGCACCCTCTAGTGTCTATCCTGCAAACTCGGTGTAAGTGTTCGTCACTTAAACGAAAGAGGGCGCCACAGCACAAACCTAGGAAATCAGCTACAAGCTCCACAATAGCGGAGACTCTCACCCATAAAATAAATTATTATACGAACTGCTACCAAACAAATAATATTATCTGCATTATTCTTAACAATAGTTAAATTATATTATATTAAAAATAGACGGACTGTATGAAATCGCAAGTCTTAGCTAAGTGGAATACCCCAATTTAAATGGCTTTTTGGTATATTTACAATGTCAGAAATGGCACAAGCAGTATGAATATGTGAAAGCCGGACGGTGTAACTTTCCGATAGTCGCGCGGTCACACTGTTGGAAAGTGAATAGAATAAGCGTGAATAAAGCGAGAAAAGCAAACGCAAAACGTGAGACTGTGTGCGTTCGCCGTCTCCTCGCACCGAAGTGGAGCGCACTTTGATTAATTCCGTGGATGGAGTGGAACAGCAAACACAACTGGAACAACAATTGAAAAGATGTTAAGCAGAGCACAGAGAGAGCGCAAAGTGAACAAAAGCGAACGGTGAAAAGCACGCGTTTTGTCGTTTTGTTTTCCGCTTTTCCAGCAGCCGTGTGCCAATTCCCTTCGCACATTCTTCGCAGCCGGATATTGTGGAGGCAATGGAAAGCGCAGACATGTGTGCATGTGTGTCGCTTGGATAACGGCGAAAAAGGCGATAGCGGAGCTGTGAAACGGCAAAAAAAGCTAAAAACTTGAGCTGGGATCTAAAATCGGATCTCAAGTTTGGGGACAAAGAACGGGTGTGAGAGAGAGAGAGAGACGAGGAAAAAGATACTCACACACGCATATACTTAACCGCTTCACACGCTCTCCCGTGTAAAACCAATACAACAAAAAACAAAAACAACATGCAATTGTTGCAAAGTAGTTAAATAATTCTGCCCTGTCTGCGCTTTATTTCCTTCTTCATTTCGGTTCTTCTCGTTTTTGACTTTTTGTTGTATATTTTCAACAAGTTTCTGTTTCTCGCTTTTTCCCCACACACACACACAACCACCCACACAAACAAACAGTTCTTTTTTCGTTACTACTTCCAAACAACAAAAACACACGGCACACGAACACCAACCACCAATACCAAAACAACGTCTCGTGTGACGTGCGAGCGCAGAAATTGTCGTCTTTAGATTTTGTTTGTGCACTTTTCGTCATTTCCCTTTGTGTTCCGTTGTGTGCGGAACAGGCGGGAAGAGAGGGAGCGCAAGAGTGGCCGAGAAGCACCTGCGAAAAAGCGGCACGAGATCGCCTGAAAAGCAGAACATCGCAAGAAGCAAAAGCGACCGGCTCCCCACTTCCACACGCAAACACCCAGAGCTCCCCCACACACACATCCAACACTTGTTGCAGCGGACGCGGAGAAGGGGCGCAAGAGCGATAAGAAGGAAAGAGACGAGGAGCGGGAGGAGAACAAGTGCCTAAGAAGACAACAACGCGCATCTGCTATCAGCGAATACCACTGCAAACGTAAGAACGGGGATAAGGAATGGGGTGGAACAGACCTGAATGATACCCTTGCAGGGTTGATAGTGCCCCAAAAAGTAAACAGATATCTAGCATCTTATGTAATGTATGGGGAATGTGGGGATTACTCACCTAGGTAAAACCCTATAGAAATGCTAGTAGCCCAAAATGTTTGCAATTACTCAAGAGAATGATTTCCCTTTGGTATGTGGGTCTTAATAGACTAAAGAATGCATTAATAATGGGTCGAAATTCAGATAATTCCCTACTCAGTATAGGGTAATCATTGCGGAATGTGGAGTATTCAGACATTGATGTGGAACATCATTAGTAATAGATTTAGTTTAAAAGTTTTCGGATTAGTAGGCCTTAGTAAACAATAATACAGGACTATAATACACATACATTTTTTTTTTAATTAACCAGTAGAACTTGATAATTTGAAATGAATTTGGCTCTTTTTCAGTGTCTAGTTATTGGTGTTATAAATTCTCCTCTATGAAGATAACATTGAATTCTATACATATATAGTTCATATTTGTAGGGCCATTAAACACGTTCCCGGACCTCTTTGGTTAGCTCACCTACCTCATTTGATATGCTCTCCCTACCGAACTAAACGGTCTGCTAATCTGGCTGATGGGTTTACTAAACGTTTTCCGATTATAAACACACCAATCAATCAAAACTTAGCCACGTGTCTGGTATTCCCCTCATTAGTTGTAAAACGTAGTGCCATACTATAGTCCATATACCAGTGACGAGGAACAGAATCGGGAAACGAGTACGGCACGCTATCCGCCGGAGAAAGACCGGCTGATAAGTGATAAGCCGGACGGACAGACGCTGCAATTCGCCGAGGGCACCACAATCTCGCATCTGATAAGGCCGGAATCACGATTTTCCTGTGCCGCACATTTAAATTAAAGGCGTCAAGCTATAAAATGATATATGAAGAGCTTTGGTACCTATCAGCGATTGTTATTTTCGAACGTGCATATACATGGGTAAAATATTGAGGGGATCAGGCAGGTTATACTTATGGCCCTCGAATGTGACTCTTCTAATTTTGGGTACTCTATTTTCCAGATGGTCAAGGAGAAGCCAAACTCGACTCGCATCTACGACAAGGATGGATTCAGGCGGCGAGCTGCCTGTATCTGCGTGAAATCGGAAAATGAGGCGGAGGTGAGTAACACTTTGTAAAAAGCCTATAGATAATTTAATAAAATCAGCTAACAAACAATTTGCTTGTCCCAGGTACTCCTGGTGACCTCCTCTCGTCGTCCGGAGTTGTGGATCGTTCCAGGAGGCGGTGTTGAACCCGAAGAGGAGTCAGCGGTGACCGCCGTACGCGAAGTGCTCGAGGAAGCCGGCGTGGTTGGCGATCTGGGTCGTTGTTTAGGTGTATTTGAGGTAATAGTTCAGTTTATAAAGAGGTTCTACAATAACCTACTTTCCATTAAACCTGATTCTAATCTGTATCCCGCCATTCAGAACAATGACCACATGCATCGCACCGAGGTGTTCGTGATGAACGTCACTCAGGAACTTGACGAGTGGGAGGATTCGCGGAGCATCGGGCGAAAGCGCCAGTGGTTCACCATCGATGATGCCCTTTCGCAGCTGGCGCTGCACAAGCCGACGCAGCAGCACTATCTGATGCAGCTCCAGCACTCGAAGACGCTGGACAACACGAATCGTGTGGTGAACGCCACGCATCCGCCCAAGTTGACCAATGCCGCCACCCCAGCCGCATCGCCCACCACGGCATAAAGACATCGGGATGCAGGATGCAGGATGCGGATCGCAGGAAGCAGGAACCACACATGCACACCACACTTAACCGCGAGACTAATCCAACACTAACCCTACAACTAACCCCATACCCAGAACCATACACATTTTGACATTTTGGAAATTTACATATAGACAGGCAGTCTTCTAGATTATGTTGGTTAAGCGATACTTATCTTACCCCGCATCCCCACATAGCCCCATTTGCGTTTAAGTTTAAGTCAAGGCGTTCATTTATGTCTTTAGTAAGTGTATCAGAACTAAATTTATGTGTTTATGAAGAGGAGGTGAAGAAAACAACAACGCTACTCGATCAATGCTAAGCGAACTTATATTATTCGAGATCTATAACACGACGCATAAGTAGACGGAAACAACATGTAATAATTTTTGAGCGAATAGCACTTTTTGCAAACACGAAATGAAACTAAAACAAAAACTAAAACTAGATGAACTAAACAACAAAATCCAGATTAACGATATCTATTAGATTTTTCTACTCTTTTTTATAATTTACTCAAAAGGCGTCTTAATTGATTAATGTAACAAGCAAACCAATTGGAATCGGCTTTAACAAGCGCAAAAGGAGATCTTAATTAACTATGCTAAGCGGCCTAAATAAAACGAAACCTATTTAAGCGATGACTAACGAATCGATTTCGTTTCAAATCACCCACAGTCAATGACAATTTTCAAAACAAAAAAAACCTAAGACTCAACTTGTGACGAACTGGACAAATGACCGCAAATAAATCATTAGAAAACCTTAATATATTTAACAACAGTTGCCTATGCAAGAATATAAAACCCACTGCAGGGGATATATAAGTATAAACGTTAACTTATTGTAAAAACAAAATGCGAGAACTTAGAGAAGCCAGCAAACATATTATGAACTAATTCAACTACTAAGATATGTGCACGTTGTACTTTTCAGAAGCAAAAATAACAAAAAAAAAAACGATTGCGATTATAATATTAACACAGCTAGGAAGAAGAGGAGCATGTTTTCAATGTGATTTAAGAGATACAAGATACATACGAGTTAAACAATTTTATGTGACATTTTTTCGATGATTTTTTGGCACTTCAAAAGCGCGCAACCAAACGAAATTTGAATTCAAGCTCAATGGAAGCAAAGTCTGGCAGTTGAATCTATGATTTCATCAAACTATCAATTCAACTTTAGTTGCAAACTAAAGCCGACAAACGAACTTTTATCGGAACGCTAAATTATATCACAAATTGTTGCAATTAAACGATGATTTACAACCAATAAAGAAGAAAACAAAACACAGCGTGAGTGGTTTGCTTTTAAAAAATAATTCCTTTCATGCTTTCTATATACGTGCAGGTAAAAGAACATCAAACATAAGGTGGTTTTCTTAAATTTAGTTGATTTTATATACAAATACTATATTAAATCTATTTCAGATGCTTAAGGACTACTTCTTCAGCTGAATCCTCTTAAATGGATGGGCCTCGATGTAGGCCAATGCCTTGAGGATGTAATCCGGAATGGGAGGCGACGTGGGCAGATGAGCACCAGTCGGACGATATCCGTTCTCGTCGGCAGTGTATTGCAGTTGGATGGGTGTTCCATCGGGAGCAGTGTAGCTCACTGATCCGGCAGCTTGAACTCCACCCACTCCCGTCTCCTGGGCGTCGATGCCGTTGGAGGTTCCAAACTCCCAGCTGTATGAGCCATCGGGCTTCATCTCATCGCGGTACCTGATGGTCTGGGCCTGTGATTCATCTGCAGCGCGGATGGCGGCCACCAGGAGCAGGGAAATGATTAGCGCCTTGATTTCGGAAAAGGTAACTCAATTAGATGATTGTATCGCTACTATCGCAAAGGTCTTACGGTCTTGATCATTCTGGTGCCGGATTTGCTGCAGTTGCTACTGATTACTGATCTCCAAGTTCGGCGTCAGATGGTTTTATACTCCTAACGATCACTGACCTACACCTACAACATCGCCGAACAGGTGACAATTTGCCAATCCGAATTATTAATTCGCGCATCTGAAAATATGAATTTGACCGCGTTTTTACGAGCGTTGTCATCTGTTGTTTGTTTTTACTACGGCTTTACGACCCAGGTGCCCTATAACCCATGCATCTATGAGTAAAGGGGTCTCCTTATCTGCGCCTCAGAAATCGCAGATCAACGATCTCGATTTACAGATGCTGTCCACAATGGCTCTTTTTATCTAATCTTGACTTATATTCATAATAAATACATAAATCGTAAGCCGAGCTTAGACGCGCCAAAAATATTTCAGCGAATATTGCACACTCTTTTCATAAGTCTACAGACTCAAGAGCATGTGTGATATATTTTACTTATGAAATCTAAAATAATTGCATACAAATTCATGTAATGTAATAGGAAAGTTGACAGTTTAAAGACTTCTTTAAACTACAAATGTATAGAATTGGTATAGAATGTAAAGAATTGGTATAGTACTTCCAGAGACTACCAAAGCCAGTTACCAAATCAACAGAACCTCTGCTTAAAAGTTAGAGTATCCGGTGTGGAGGCGCCAAAATACTATTCGGGCTGTCATTCGATTAGCGGCTCTTGTTGTTAATGATATGCAAATGCGAATATGAATGCGGGCAAATGCCGGCAGAGCAGTTTGCGTTTGGAGCTGAGTCGAACTTGAAAACCTAACAAAACACCAAGTGTCATCGTAAATTTCTACCGACTGCTGCCGATTTTAGATAGTTTAGCTTGCATATAAATAAGTTGAAAAACGTTAGACATTAGACGTTGGACATCCAAAAAGTATACTATTAAATATAAGCTTATTTTAACTAAAGCTATGATGCAAGAAGAGCTAATGATCGGCTGTAAATAAGTATAGATTTTCTTGATCAGGATGGTCAGGCGCTCTAGCCATATTTTCCGTCCTTCCGATTCTGGGAGCTATAGACGCTAGGGAGTCGGGACTTTTATTTTTTATATTTTCCTGGCTTACTTTATGAACTCTGATGTTGGTCCAGGTAAAATTGAGCAATTCAAATTAGATTATTTAGATTAATTTCTTTACGTTTCGTCGTTTATTTCATTTCTACATTAACATTTTTACGATTCGTAATAAAGCTCTTGATTTGTTATCACATGAGACTTCCTCTCCTGCTTAACCGATCAGCCTCTTGAGGGCGGGCCTGCGGTAATCCTGGTCGACGTACTGGGGATGGGTGCGGATGTACTCCAGACTCCTCAGGATTTCAGCGGGGATTGGGGGAGGAGTGGGCAGGAGGGCTCCCTGGGGCTGGTATCCGTTCTCATCGGCCAGGTACGAGATCTGAACCAGCTGACCTTCGGGGGAGTACCACGAGAAGGCTCCGTTGGCGTGGTTTCCTCCGATTCCGGACTCCTGGGCGGCGATTCCGTTGCTGGTCTCGTACTGGTAGTTGTAGTTGCCCTCGGGCTGGATGTCGGAGCCGATCTTGGTGATGTAGGCAGAACCATCCGGGCTGTAGGTGGCGGCGGCGTAGGCGCAGGCCATGATGGCGGAGGCGACGAGCACCTGAAAGACAAGGTTATAATGCAAATGACATATATTGACATATAAACAATAAGTGCAAATATAAAATTTTATTTTAAGCAAGATTGCAGTGCTGTACCAATGACTTCGGTAGTTTTAATTTTAAAAGTCGTCAATTTTAGCAATGGTATCTATAAATCCTGAAGGGTTTCGCTATAAAACTGATTTTTGTATATCTTTACAAACACACTTTTAAATTCAAATCGTTGAGGTAGACATATTTGTTAGCATATTATGAGATCCTTAAAAAAGTTGCTGGCACTAAATGTTGTATACCGATTATAAGATCGGTAAGAATAATTTGTAATATCCATCCTTAAAAGGGATATCCTTAACAAGTAGTCACCAACAAATAGGCACCAATTTGTTGAATTCCACTGCTTTTGTATAGTTATCCTTAATGGATATTGTAAAATAGTTAATAATGATTTTGGATATTTTCGGATATCCTGGTATTGAATAATTGAATTGAACTGAATTCCAGTGCCTTTTCATAGTTATCCTTCCGATGTATGGTACTTACGTAGCGGAACATCTTAGCTGAATTGAAGGAGTGCGTGTGTCTGCGGCTAAGAGACGACTCTGAATGATAACTCGGTGGCAGATCAGCAATGTTTTATAGGAATTCTCGATACGAAACCCGATCCACCCAAGCAACTTTTATGGCCGACTGCAGGAAACTCATATGAATAACAATGGCCAAACTGAGATTGACCAAATTGGAGCGGCACGAGCGACTTGAAATGGTAAAAAGCCACATGCTAACTGAAGCTCGACTCTTCAATTTTGGATAAGTATTCATCGGCCAATAGTTATTTGCAGCAATAAATTATGCACATATTAAAAGCATATTAAAATACATTTTGATAGAATCTAATAAGTTTTTAACTAGGAATTATCATTAACTAATTGATCACATTCAACAATTCATCTTTGCACTGGTTAAGATTGATCAATCAATGGAGATTAAGTGATAAAATTGATTTTAGCCAATTATGGTTCAAGCAATGAAATCGGAGATAATTAAATCGGTATTAATTTGAAATAAGCAGATGAATTAAACATTTAAGAGATAGCAAATTTACGTTTACAAAGTTGGGTACAACAAACTTGCTCTGAAAACCCTTCACAACTAAATCCCGAATTCTACTGATATTAAACAAGTACTCATATTACTGACAGTAAACAAGTAATTTTTTCTCAGTAAACTACATTTTTTTATTTAGTAATCTATGGTTGATTTGTTGGTACAACCTTTTTAAGCAATACTTGGGCATTTTAAACGCCATGAACCTAAACAGTTTGGGCTCAGTTATTTTATGAAACGTCAATCAACCAACTTAATAACTATATTACGCTGAGTAAAAAAAATGGGAAAAGATGACGTGAATACATAACAAGACAGAGATATGTATTTTAACAACAATTGATTTAAAAACAATTACTGCTTTAGGACTTTAGAGACATTTCGTGTTCTTGTCTAGAGATCGCCAGGGTGTCTTCGTTTAAGCCTTCTTCTGGTCATCGGGTTAGCCAAGGAGGCTTCCAGGTGGTAAATAATACATATGGGTTTTGTACCAGCCCTATAAATTAAATTTAACAGGACTTGATAGCTAATTCAGCTATTAAGTTCCAGTTTCACACTGCGTGAAAAATGAAAGTGAAAACGGTCCGCCTAATGGTCTTATTTACGTTCTTAGAATCTAGTCTCGAGTTATTGCTATAAAACAGAGAGAAAGACAAAGTATACCAATCTTGGAAAGCAAATGTTAAAAAGAACTTTGAGAAAATGTAAATATACAGAAATGAAAGTTCGCTGCGGTACCTCGTGGGATGCTAAAGCTTATTTCATTATTCCAGGCAATCCTTTAGTTTTAAAGTCTAAAATTTATTTTTTTACGGCAAGCAGACCATAGATTTATGTAATTTTTTCTTTATTTGAAACTGTTTTTAAAATCGTAATAAAGCTCTTGATTTGTTATCACATGAGACTTCCTCTCCTGCTTAACCGATCAGCCTCTTGAGGGCGGGCCTGCGGTAATCCTGGTCGACGTACTGGGGATGGGTGCGGATGTACTCCAGACTCCTCAGGATTTCAGCGGGGATTGGGGGAGGAGTGGGCAGGAGGGCTCCCTGGGGCTGGTATCCGTTCTCATCGGCCAGGTACGAGATCTGAACCAGCTGACCCTCGGGGGAGTACCACGAGAAGGCTCCGTTGGCGTGGTTTCCTCCGATTCCGGACTCCTGGGCGGCGATTCCGTTGCTGGTCTCGTACTGGTAGTTGTAGTTGCCCTCGGGCTGGATGTCGGAGCCGATCTTGGTGATGTAGGCAGAACCATCCGGGCTGTAGGTGGCGGCGGCGTAGGCGCAGGCCAGGATGGCGGAGGCGACGAGCAGCTGTAGGAACAGATGGACCACAGTTAGATACAAATTGATTATAGACATTTTTCGAGTGAGTAATTGTATGAAGTTCTATTTTCTTTTTTTAATTTTTAAACTACTTGGTGTTTGTTATAACTCGATGCACATATCCTTTGGACTTACGTAGCGGAACATCTTTGACGGCTGGAGTGCGTTTGTCTAAACTGAGAGACGACTCTGAATGTGACTTTGGTGCAGATTGCTAAGCTTTTTATACTAATTCTGGACATGAAACCAGATCCACCGAAGCAACTATTGCGCTCTGCTGCAGGAAACTCATCTGAATAACAATGAAGGCGAAAAGCCTAAATTGGCCAAACTGGAGCACAGAGTGACTAAAGAGCCGTAGAGCCACAAGTTCAAAAACCCACTCTTTTAGTTTCCAGTCAAGACAAGATGTTATGCACATGCATACAACTAAGGTGAATACTTAAGCAGTAAGTGCCTGAAATAATTAGCAATAATAATTAATATACGGATAATAAAGCTAAGTGGGCTATGTTTGTCTAGTTCCTTGAATTTCATTAACCGTGTATCAATTATTGTTTACATAGTTAGGTTTTTTAAAATAGAAGATCGCAACTACACAAATATATCAATGGGGTAATTCAGCTTGCTATTAAGACAGGTTATTCCTAGGTGGTCGCACATCGGTGCTAAGAGCTTGACCGCTGCTGTGCATGTGGGCACTGCAAAGAGCAAAAGTTATTTCGAACCCCATGCGCCAATGTCAATGTCGCAGCTACATAGGTTTGCTTTGAGGTTCGAGATCCGTAGAGTTTAGTTTCTGGTTTGGCACACCCAAAAAAGTGTATTAATTAAGTGCATTTAATACACAGACCAGTCTTGAATTTAGCATAATTTATGGTTTTACTCCGGTCTGCTCAATGGTTAACTCTTCCAGTTTGATTCGTCAATACTTTTCTTAGCTCCACGCATTTGTAAAGTCCGTCTGAGGTGCTGAAATGTGTGCGTTTAACAAATTGGTTCATAAAACTGAGTTAATGCCTAATTGGTACCCGAAGTGAGATATCAAACTGGATTAACCCGTTGCCAGGCGCGCCTAGTCCGCCGCCCTATCCAAATCCGAAGACTACAAAACGTATCTTGTCACCAGCGGCACCTTTAATGCGATTTTTCAAAATGTTATAGAAGATTTTAGCACGGTGGCTCGTGACTAGTTCTCAAACTAACAGGAAGCTTCAAAAATAATATCGAGTGTCTTTCATTATTTAGAGCACCGATTAGTGAAATCAGTTGGATGTTAATAACTCATGTCCACATTTAAGCATAGTTAAATCCACATATTTAAGTTTTGACAGCTAGTTCTTTAGCATTTGATGACCTTTCAATTGAATATTGAGAAAATATATGAACTATTGGCCTATAATAAACTTCAACTTTAAATAGATTCAACAACATTTAAGCCAATGTGTTCCTAATTTGAGTCTTCATGCTAAAAAATCTTTATTAAATACCAAGATTTTATTTGAGGACTGCCTTTGCCCACTGTGCTGATAGTTTCTCGATGTGCCAATGAAATTATTCAACTTGGGGGGCATGGCCTTGAGAGATATCCATGCGATGAGAACACGTCGGCCGTAAAACTAAACTTTATGCAACGAAGTTGGATTTGCGGGTTTCGGTAACATGGTAACGTGTCAAAGATCTTTAAAAGATTTATTAGTTTAGATCTGAGAACAGATCGAACATCGATTACGCATTTAGCACCCTTGGACTTGCTGTCGTCACAAAGCCAGTCAGGGGATCCCCTGAACTTTATTCTCATAATTATACGTAGTGCCGAGATACGATTATGATTATTAATTTAATGCCCCTTAACTATGTCGTTTTATTAGGAGGCTGCCTTTTGAAGTGTGGCTTAAAAGTGATGGGATCTCTTGATGCTCAGTCTTTACTGTCACTGAAAACGACCTTCCGAAGCTTCGAATAAATTTAAAGAAATCACACTAATATAGATTCAAGTCGCTCACATTAACCGAGTGTTGTAAGTCGTTTAAGGGCCATTTATGCAAGCTTAGACAAAAAGACAAACTTGGATTTATAAAGAAATAAATCTCCAAAAATAGTACCAAAAAAAGAGTAAGGTCGATTCGAAGTTCCAAAAATCGTGACATTTGGTATATATGAGTGACTACTTATTAACGATTATCTTTTGTACGCTGCTCGAATTCAAAAACTGCATCGTTCCCATAAGCTAGTTCCAAATATTATATTATTTTTAGCCGATTTATTCGGATTTCTTGTTTTCCTTTCATTAATAAGCAAATTGGTTATGCTTTTAGATGCGCGTCAATGGCTTCGGCGGCATCAATAATTCACACCGATTTTGGGGTATAGATATGTATAATTTCGTATATAATCTCTCGCTTACGATTCAGTTTTATGCAAATCAGGCGTCAATATTAGTGCAAGTTTTGTCAAGCACGCCGAAAAGAATTTATAATTTATATTTCCCATGCCCATCTCCACATAAAGAGAATCGTATTTCTAATGAGAACTGAATATATGTAAGCACGACAAAGGTATACACTATGTTAAAATAAAATATTACAAAAGAAAGAATATAAATATAATAAAATATAAGTGATGTTTCCTCAGAAATAATAGATTACAAAATGTATGCAATCTAAGCGGATTGGGTTGTATTTAATTTACTTAAACATAAGTTAGGAATTTACTTTTGTGTTTTCTAAGTAGTTTGAAAATTAATTAAATGCGTAGGTAAACTTGTCTTTTTGATGTTATATAAAAATAATTTTAATGACTAGGTCAAAGCATACACAACCCTCTTATTTTGAGGCGAATAATTTTATTCAAACTGCTTTAAAAGGTTGTCATGTGTCCAAACATTAAGACTTCATTATTAGTGTATTAAATGAAATGCAAATTAATTGGGCTGAACTCGTGTGCATATTAATTGGACTAAGACTGAAACTGAAACTGAAACTGATACATATATGGCCAAATATGTCATATTGACTTTTAGCATTTTCCCATAACCTGTTGGCCTTCCGGGATGTCATAGAGCGGGTAATATTTGAATGGATTTTAACAGCGAGTTGCGAGATTATTAATGTAGTTGTCCAAAAATTAACAGGCTCCTAATTTATAAGACTCCTAATTTAAAGATTACTTTTAGCACCTTGCACAATGTTTAAGAATATTTGCTCGACAGCCAATTTTGATTTCGATTGATTTCTAGTCTTGACTAGCAACTAAGAAATGTTTTTATATTTAGGTTTTAACGACTCCTTAAATATCCTAGTTCAATGACGGATAACCAATGATATTATTTGCCTTAAAGTCAAATAAGGGTAACTTACTAATGAATTTTAGGAAGTTAAGGGGCAGGCTCCTGGATTTTTGTCAGTAGTGAGGATATTTAAAATAAAATTTTAAGTCAACACGAAATTTTAGCAAAGCTAAGTTCCTCAGGAGGTTGATCAAAATAACCAATAAAGTAAGCGGAATTAATCAATAAATACAAATGTTTAAAATATCAGAAATTGTCCCAACGAAATTTGTCATATTTCGTTTGAGAAATTTCACAAAATTTGTGAATCTACGTATTTTTTATTGTTTTTGTTAAGCTACTAAAAAGAGATTAAAAAAATGTAATTTCATAGTCTATATTTCAAAAGCTTTGAAAATTAAATTTAATTCTTGATTTTCAATTTCAGCGGTAAACGGTAGTCTCAATAAATAGCGCCAGAGGGCGCTCTTTTCTGAACAGCTGTGACTCTGCTTCTTGCTTGCCATTCCCACGTTCGCGTGTCTGTTCTCATCTCACTCGCACTCGCCCCGCTCGAAACGAGGCGAATTTTATCATTTAATTTTATTTTGACCAAGTTAAGAGCGCAGCGCACAAAATGCTGGCCCACAGGATGCAGCTTTGGAGGACAACGAACGCGGCGATGGCCTTGAGTTCGGCAGCTGGCCGCTTCAACCCACAGGTGAGTGAAGATCATTGAAAAAGAGCCGGCGACCTGTGACATAACCTGCAAGTTGGCCAATGTTTGTGCTCGAAAATGAACCCAAATTTCAATGAAAACTCTCATTTCCAGGCATCCGCGGGAGGCAGGAGAGATCTTCACCTCCAAAGGATTACCAGGGGCAGCAGTTTGCCCTTGGCGGCCCCCGGGAATTGGTCCAATCTCGGCCAGTTCCGTTTCGCCAGTGGTGGAGCAACTGCAGCGGGAGTGTCAGCCACCAAAAGCGAGGAGTTCATGCAGGCGGTGCCGACAACCGAACTAGTGGACCTGCCGGACATACCCGCTGCTCCAGTGCCCCCACCAACGGATGGTCTGAATGTAATGGACGTGATGAATGCCGCAGGAGAACCCTCCTTCGCCTCCATTGGCTTGGGCGGCTGGTCGCCGGTGGGAATGGTGCAGAATTGCCTGGAATTCCTGCACTGCACCTGGGATATTCCCTGGTGGGGCACCATCGCCATTGGAACACTCGCAGTGCGAACCATTATCTTTCCATTGGTCATCTTAGCGCAGAGGAACTCCGCCAAGATGAACAACAACATGCCGCAGATGCAGATGCTGCAGCTGAAGATGACCGAGGCCAGGCAGTCCGGAAATGCCATTGAATCCGCTCGTTATGCCCAGGAAATGATGCTGTTCATGCGGGAGAAGGGCGTCAATCCTCTCAAGAACATGGTGGTTCCCTTGGCACAGGCCCCGCTCTTCATTAGCTTCTTCATGGGCCTGCGACAGATGGCCAACGCCCCGGTGGAATCGATGCGGGATGGCGGACTCTTCTGGTTCACGGATCTCACCCTGGCGGATCCATTCTACCTGCTGCCCCTGATCACCAGTGCTACGTTGTACCTGACCATTGAGATCGGAACGGATTCGGCTCGCTTATCGGCTGCCAACATGAACACCATGAAATATGTGCTCAGAGCCCTGCCCATTGTGATCTTCCCGTTTACGATGAACTTCCCAGCTGCCATTTTGACCTACTGGGCTTGCAGTAACTTTATATCGTTGGGACAGGTTGCGGTGCTGAGGATTCCCTCTGTGAGGGAGTACTTTAAGATCGAAAAGATGCTGACCCATGCGCCAAGCGCACTGCCACCCAAAAAGGGATTCGTCGGCGGAATGAAGGAGTGTAAGTAACAGGGATTTTCCCACTTAATCTTTGAGCTTTCCCGATGTACAACCTTTTTTATCACTTTTCCAGCCTGGAACAACATGAAGATCTCGAAAGAAATCGAGGAGCGACAGCGCCTGGACGAGATCCGATTCGCCAAGGCCGGCAAGGGTCCGCTGGTCAAGACGTACAAGTACGATCCCACCAAAGTAGCAAAGCCCATCTCCGCGGAGCCGCACATGCGGCTAAAGGAGCCGCCCAACAAGCAGGGATAGTTCCTCGCATCCTGTAATCGCCGATGAGCGCTGTGTCTTGTTACGTTAATTTAACCCTTTAGTCTATAGTTTTTGATCATCTGAACGTTTTGCTGCTAAAATATAGATTGTATATATACAGAGGCAAACTTTTTGCTGATGAAACCTGATTTGAGAAGTTGGAGGTAAAGTTTTGGTAGATAAAATAAATTCGTCATGGAAGATACGAATGTATTAAAACATGGTCAGCCATAAATTAAGTCGATGTGTTTTCAGTATAGATAAGATACGGTTAAACGACAATCAAGTATGAAAATGATTGTGGGGAATTAAGTCATTAATATTACTATAACAAATATAAAAGTGCTCATCAAATACTATTAGCCTGAGTTTATATGCTGTTGAGTAAGACTATAAAATCAAAAACCATTAATCAATCGAAGCCGGGGTGGAGTTTCAAGTTGCTGACCTCGATTACTAGCTATCAGTTAGCATAGGCTTCAATAATAAATAAAAGGTTTAATAGCTCTGTAGATTGACAATTATAACTAGAAAAGTAGAAGTAGTCTTCAAGTCTTACATGGATTCGCAGGCATTTACAGGTTTTTAAATGGAAAAACATTAAGCTAGGTTGGAAAGTTTAAAAACCAATTAGATGGTTAATGGTTAATCAATCCAAACGGGTCAAGTCATCAGTATAATTACCGTCCAAACAGGGCAACAAAGTAGAGATGAGTGGCACATGAGAACCCAATAAATATTCGGAAACACGTACAAACTTCTTTTAAACGAATATTAATATTACTAAGCCAACAGCATATGTGTATATATCCAAATCGAGGATAAACCAAATACTTAACCCTTGGCGGCGATGCACTGGTTGATTACCTCGGCGAGGTGATTGTTCTCCAGGGCAGCAGCCACTCGTTCCTTGTCCGCCAGTTGCTTATTCACCGCCTGCTCGGAGGCGTGCGTGCCGGGCGTTATTTCCACGGTGACCTTGAAGCGGGGTGGCAGCGAGCGGAGCAACTTCACCCGGATGGAAAGGCCAATCAAAGTGGCCATCGAGCAATGGGGAATCGTCGGTGTGAAGCTGATGTGCACGGAATTCTGGCGATCGTTTATCTGGATGAGATCCTCCTGCACCACATGCAGCTCCTCCAAGGTCAGTGGGTGTTCCGGGTCATTTATATTCCTGATGAGATCTGGGAATTGTTATTTATTTGATATATTCATCAGCTATTGTTCTTTAGTCTCACCAAAAATCTCTCGCTTGTCAAAGGGATCGGGCACGTTTTCGTCTTCTTCGTTGGCGGTTAATACCCTCTCCTTGATCCTTTCGTAGACATTGGGGTTGATGTTCTCGATTTCCGTGGGCATTTTGTATTGTTCTACCCTTTAAAACCCTTTATTTACACGTTTTTGGCGAGGAATAAACTGAAACAATAACTAATATTTTCCAGTGTGTCCGCACCTTTCGCACTAGGAAGTTCTAAATAACACCACACGCATTTTATGGTGTGCAGACACTTTTTGGGCGCGAAATTTATTTGAATTTGAAATTAATCCCATTTTCTTAATTTTATTAAACTGCTTTATTGAATTAGGCGGAATTTTTATCTCTTTCTTGAATTTATGCGCGCATCTCACTATTCAGCCTAATTAGTGATGTTTAATTCAATCTTTTTAAGTTAATCACAGTTGACCAGTAGCTTTTTTCTAGGTTTGAATTATTGGAATTTAAATTCGATACAAATTCAGGGCAATTACTAGATCAATCAAATGAAATCACAGCGTACAGTTCCAGGAAAACATCGGACAATTGATATGTTTACCTGTCATCTTACGTAAAGGGCGTAATTACAGACGCCTCGCGATCCATATTTATGTGCTCTTCAAATTAGCTGCGGGAATACTTAACTTAAGTTAACCAAGCTTAACTTTTTTTGCGAGCCAGTGCTAAATGGCCGGCAGATGTGGATGTGGATGACTCCGTACTTGGTATCGCCGCTGACTAAGCCTTGGGCCCATTTCGCCGGCTAAAACCCGCTTTTATTTTTCATATTTTTATTCCATTTTGCAGCTTTTACGAGTAGCCGAGAGGCCGGCGCACTTGACGTCGATTTCCTCGGGTTATAATTAGCCAGACTTATCAATATCAACGTAGAAAAGCAGATTTACATTGTGAACGGGTTTCCGTGCACTTGGCATGCATCTATTCGCAATTAGCACCGAATTACAAACTGGTTAACAGCCGCTGCCAACGGAGTGGAGAAGCTTCCGAACAGTTGGGTTTATAAAATGGGACGCCGCTTGGCTCAAATCAGCAGTTTTGGTCACATCTCCCAGCGGTCAGCATGAAGTCGGTTGTAAGTCGAGATCTCAGTGTTTTCTAAGATTTCCCACGGAAAGGGAAAATGTCATCGTGTTTGTCTATACGAAATATTGTAATCGGTTATTTAAGGGGTGCTATTTTTTACTCTTGAATGATGTTATTAAAATTCTGAAGCGAACATGTACATTTTTAAAGAATTTCTCAAGAAGCTAAAATGTGTTCTAATCTATGATTTTAATTTTCTTAGATTATTCTCTTAGCCTTGGTGGCTTTCGTCCAAGCAGCACCTGTGGATGTCAAGGAGTCTTCCTCTGGAGAGCTCTCCAGACCCAGTCCCATCAGTCCCGATGTGCTTGTCGATCCCAAGCCCACGGCCAAGGTTGTCCTGCTCAAGGATGCTCCCGGCCTGAATCGCCAGAAGCGTGATGAACACAAGAAACCCGACAGCGTGAAGGCCCACGAACAGCTCCATCACTCGGAGCCGATCGTTCCTAGTCATCATGAGCAGAAGCCTTCTCATGAAGGACCACATGAGCACAAGCACAAGAGGGAAGCTCACCACGAGGAGGGCCACCATGGCGACGATGCGGTGCCCCAAAAGGAGGAAGTGAAGCAGGCTCCCGAGGCCCATGAGGTCAAGAAGGAAAAGCGGGAAGCTCACCACGAGGAGGGTCACAAGGATGAGGCGGGTGACCGACCTCAGGTGGAGGATCTTTCGCTGCCCCACACCCTGCCCGCTGTGGCTCACACCGCCGAGTTGCCCAAGAAGCAGGAAAAGCGCGAGACTGTGGAGAAACCCGACAGCGTGAAGGCCCGTGAGTCCCTGGAGCATAATCCCCACCGATCCGAGGAGCTCCACAAGGCCATCGAATCTCTGGCCAAGGAAAAGGCGCCGGAACAGCGTCATAAGCGCGATATTCCCGTGCCCACGCAAACCAAGGCCACCACCACCGATCTTCCGGCCACTACAAAGTCGGAGCTGGGCAGCAGCACTCCGTCCATCCAAAATCTCCATATTCCCCATCCCATTCCCGTGGCCGAGCTCTTCGAGAAGAACAAGCACGCCGATAAGTCCACTTCCAGTTCCGAGGAAAGCAAGGAGAAAGCAAAAGCCTAGGTTTCCCATGCCAAAAGACGCTAATGGGAATATCACGAGATTTGTGGTCAGCGAAAACGAACTAAAATAAACATAAATAAATAGATGCTTATATAAAGAGACTGTGTTAATTATTTATTAAATATTTATGTAGGTGAAGGGAGGTCTATGAAAAGGCAGTTTTTAGAAGAGTTAACATTGTTAACTTCATTTCAGACTTCAATTGGGTAACTTTAGTAAAGTTTTTGAGCTCAGTGTAATTTAAAAACACTCATAGGCTTAGTTTTTCTTATAATATTACTTAATTAATAATAATTGTAATTTGAAGGGGCAAGTTCGTGTCGTTTTGACGAAAATTGTTGTAAACGCCTTAAGGCACTAAATGTTTATGCGCCAAGTAGCTTCCTGGTAATAAATTTAATTTACGTTTCAGACGAGGCGGACACAAAGAATTGATATTGTAGTAAGGCTGTATTAGAGTATTCTTAGAATTTTTCCACTTCATAGGCAAACATTTAAATGACTCCTCGGACTTCCCCGTATAAATTAGAGCAATTTAACTACGCGCTTCTCGTAAAAAACATTGAATATTTACGTAAGCACCTCTTCGCTAATTTTTCACTAAATATTTATGACATGCACGTAGCTAACTGCTATTTTATACACTACTCTAATGTTAGTAAGTAATCAGTAAAATAAATAAAAGCAGCCGGACTACATGTAACAATAAACAACGTATTGTTTGCTTCGGTTTTTTCCATGCAATCGGTAAAAATTCGCTATAATTATAATGACAATTGTAAGAAGTAGACGCTTTAATGGAATTACGAAGCTGAGCTTAGATGTCTTTGTCTTAATTTGTTAGTTATTGCATATTCAAAAAGCATTAGACTTGCCTGAAAACCAAAGTGCACATTAATAATGTCCGAAGTCAAACCTACACAGTTGCATTTAAGAAAGTTTATAAAAGTACATGGTTTAATGTTTATAGAGCAGGAAAGATCTTCAACAAAGTGTTTTCTATTTCAGATAATACCGTCTCTATTAAAGCTAAGTTTCGTCTAATTATTCACAATGTGCTTAGTTATTTGGCTACGTAGTTCTCCTCCTCCGACTTTCCGAAGTAATCATCGGATTTGTAGATCTCCACAGGTTGGTACTCCTCCTGGATGAGATTGGATCGTGGCAGGGAACTGAGTGTGCTGGGATCGCTGGCACCTAGCTTGGCCTTCAGTGGCTTCAGCAGCAGTCCCTTGAGGCTGTAGTCCGTGACATGCAGCTCCTCTTCGGCTATGTCCACAGATCTTTCGACTTCCGACAAATTGGCACTAACTACACCCACAAACTGCTCCAGACTGTCGATTCTGGTCTTCAGTTGCTCGAAACTGTCTCCGAATCCCAGGATGGTGCAGACGTGGTTGGCCATCATGCCATTGGACTCGGCACGCACCTAAAAGGCAATAAACTATTAGCGTTCTCACTTAATTTTATGAAAACAACTAACCGAAGCCAGCAAAGTCTCAAACTCGTCTAATCTGGCCAGCATATCCTCTATATTCGTGCACAGTGGATTTATCTCCTTGTCCAGATCGGCGCTCTGCAGTATCTTGGCATAGTCCCGCGATACATTCTCCATATTTGATTGCATTTCTCGGGTATTGATTTAATTAAGTTAATATTTGTAAACAAAAGCAACAATTGTTTTCTCTTTCGACCAGTGTGTCCATACTTAAGGAGCGTAAAACGCTTATCAGTTACAGTGTGACCCCATTCGATTTCCTAAAAGAGTTGCCATTTTTGTACCGCTGATGTTGCGGTCTCACTGTTTTCTATTGATTTTGGAAATTGTGCCTTTGAGCATTTGCGTCGATTTGCAGGACGATGAGTGGCTACCGAGGCATCGGCGGCGGGGGATTCCCTTACCGCAAGCCAGCGAGTTCCGGCAACAACATGAACGCTGTACCGCCTCCCCCGATGCTGAATTCCCGTGGCTACACGGGTTCCCGCGGAGGATTAGCAGGAGCAAGCCGTGGCGGAGTTACTGGGAGCACAACGTCGAAACACGGCTACTCCACTCTGGACTCCATCAGTCAGTACACCAATGTCTCCAATCTGGTTGGCAAACGGAAACACCACACGGATGATGACTATTTCGATGATGACGATGAGCCCAAGGAAAAGGAGATTGAGCAAGCCTATATACCGGCACCAGGATCTCCGGGAGCCCCGCCTTCTTCGGCCCAAAAGCAAGAGGAATCCGATTCGGATGACGATCCCCTCGAGCAGTTCATGGCGGGAATCAACCAGCAGGTGGAGAAGGAGAAGCGGCAACAGGCACCCAAGCCTCCCACTCAGGCGGTAAGAGGTGACATCGATGACGAGGACGACGAGGAGAGCTACTATCGCTACATGAAGGAGAATCCCAATGCTGGGCTACGCGACGAGGGATCCGATCAGGAAATCGAGTACGATGAGGATGGCAATCCTATAGCGCCACCGAAGAAAAAGGATATTGACCCTCTGCCGACCATCTACCATTCCGAAATCGAGTACGAACCCTTCGAGAAGAACTTCTACACACAGCATGACGACATAGCCGCCCTAGATGAGGAGCAAGTCCGGGAATTAAGGCGCACACTGGGCGTAAAAGTCACTGGTCCATCACCACCAAAACCAGTCACGTCCTTCGGCCATTTCGGCTTCGATGAACAGCTCATCAAGGCTGTGAGGAAAGCGGAGTACACACAGCCCACCCCCATCCAGGCACAAGCTGTGCCCACCGCCCTGTCCGGCAGAGATATTATTGGAATAGCCAAAACTGGTTCTGGTAAAACAGCGGCTTTCATCTGGCCCATGCTAATGCATGTGATGGATCAGAGACAGCTGAAACCAGGCGACGGACCCATAGGACTTATCCTAGCACCCACTCGCGAGCTTTCCCTGCAGATCTACAACGAGGCCAAGAAGTTTGGCAAAGTGTACAACCTGAACGTGGTCTGCTGCTACGGTGGAGGTTCCAAATGGGAGCAAAGTAAAGCTCTGGAACAGGGAGCGGAGATTATTGTGGCTACGCCAGGACGAATGATAGATATGGTCAAGATGAAGGCTACCAATCTGAGGAGGGTGACTTACCTGGTGCTTGACGAGGCCGACCGTATGTTCCACATGGGCTTTGAGCCCCAGGTTCGCTCCATCTGCAACCACGTGCGCCCAGATCGCCAATGTCTGATGTTCTCGGCCACCTTTAAGAAGCGAATCGAACGACTCGCCAGGGATGTGCTTTCCGATCCCGTGAGAATAGTGCAGGGAGATCTGAACGAGGCGAACCAGGACATCACGCAGTCTGTGTACGTCTTCCCCAATCCCCTGCAGAAATGGAATTGGCTGCTGTGCCACCTGGTTAAGTTCCTCTCTGAAGGAAGCGTCCTGATCTTCGTGACTAAGAAAGTAGATGCCGAAACGGTGTCCAACAATCTGTTAATTAAGGAGTACAATTGTCTTTTACTTCACGGCGATATGGATCAAGCGGACAGAAACAAGGTCATCACTCAGTTTAAGAGGAAAGAGTGTGATATACTAGTGGCGACCGACGTGGCAGCCAGAGGATTGGATATACCCCATATCAAGAATGTGGTAAACTACGACACTGCCAGGGATATTGAAACTCACACGCACAGAATTGGAAGAACGGGCAGAGCCGGCGAAAAGGGTAATGCATTCACTCTAGTTACCGATAAAGACAAGGAGTTCGCCGGACATCTGGTGCGGAACTTGGAGGGCGCCGATCAGCAGGTGCCCGACGATCTAATGGAGCTGGCCATGAAGAGTTCCTGGTTCCGCAGCTCACGTTTCAAACAGGGCAAAAGCAAGAGGCCGGCAAATACCCACACAGGATTGGGTTATCGGGAGAGAGGACATGGCGGTGGTTTTGGTTCTGCTGGTGGCTCGGAGTCCAGTTCCAGCGGGTCTGCCCAAAGTCCATCCGAAGGACCCTCCAGCAAATCCTCTTCCAGCGCAGGACCAGCCACAGATCGCTATGCAGCGATGAGGGAGGCATTCCGATCCCAGTATAACAATCAGTTCCGCGCGTCCAGCGATCGGACTTGGGAAAAAACTCTGCCGGACTCGGGAGTTTTCGCTGCGCCAATGGCACCGCCATCTTCATCCCAAGGTACTTCCTCCGCATCGTCCAATAGCAGCAGCCAGGACGCCAAAAAGGCCAAGAAGAGTCGCTGGAATTGACGGGAAGCCCAGTAAACTGATGCTGGTATTTGATTTATTTCTCTTCATATTATTTAATGTGTATTTGCTTTTGTTCCATCGTTTAAAATTACAGCTTATGAACTAAATTTAAACATATATATAATCAGATATATACCATGTTCATTCATAAAGATTACGTTAGTTAAATATTCGTATGTACAACTCTCTTCCTTCGCAGCCAGTTCCAGCGAACGATCCCACAGATCCAAATAAAAATCTTCATTAATTGTAATCATGGTTATGTGTATTTTATTTTGAATAAAATCACATTTGCGCATCCCAACTGCCTATCGATATTGTTAATCGTTAATCGTGTCATTTTCATATCATTAAGCGAGAGAAGAAATCGAACTGGAATATCGAAATCTTGAAGCTAAATTGTTCGTTAATCATTATGAAATATTGTTTTACAATGAAACCACTACGAATTTTGTTTCTTTTTCGCTTTTGGATATACGTGTTAATATAATAATTTAATTACGTGTGTTTTTGATAACATTGAGAAGAGATTTGAGATTCATTTAACTACCACATCGAGGCGATTTCGCGTAAATTTTCGAGTGTTTCGATTTCTTCGATTTTTTTTTTCGTTTTGTTAAGCGCTGAACGGGGAATTAGCCGAGGCAAAGCTTAAAAATTTCGCTATATTTGAATATCATATCAGATACGTACATGAATATATATATTTTTCGTTATATATAGTTCGCGTATATATTCTATTCAAAGACTCGTCGGTGTGTGGGTGTTATACATATATATTTGTATATAAAAATTGGTCCATGTTAACCACATCGTACGAAACATATAGACGAACTCAAATCGGAACTCAAGAGAAAATCCGAAAAAAATGAGTGA